ATACGTGGCTTTGAACAAAGGCTGTTTCAGAATCCAATTTCCCTTTCTATGTTATGCCTTGTCAGTCATAGTCTGTTAGTGTGTCTGAGGGCATTGTTCCAGGTTTCAACTACGTAGGAACACATAAGTGAACAGACTTATTTTCTCATTAGGTGTTTGTGCTACTAGCAAAGGACTTCTTATTTGCAAAGTACATTCCTTATTTTCCCACTTAACAAAGAATTTGTATCTCTTCTTCTTACCTCTTTTCCCTCTTGATCTCAGTTGCATGTCTTGTTAAGTCACCAGCACTTGCCTTTGCAAAGGAGGCACAATCTACAAAAAGTGTAAACAAGAGTAGTAAAGTAACAGGAGAACAAGTTGATAAGTCAGAATCAAAAAGGTGAGGAAGCTGTGTTGAGTCTGAAGACAGTTATTTTGCTTGGGGTTTTCAGTTGTGTGGGCACAGTTGTGCATTCCTTCCAGGTGGACAAGTTTTATGAAATGAAGTGATGAAATAATTAAAAAAGAACTAGGAGTTCCAGCCCTGGAGCCAGAAACATTTTTCAAGTGGTTCGTTGTTTGGTGGTTTTATTTGTTTGTTTTTGTTTGTTTGTTTTGTTTTTTAAACAAAATATAAAGCAAGGCACAGAGCCAATTTGGTACTAACATTCCCATGGAAAAGGTACTGAAAGCTATGTTTGCTGCTAGGAAGATGGATAAATTTCTCTTCAATCAGCGTATGTACTTAGTTATGCAGATGTCCAGCTGAATTCCTTCAGCTCTGAAACACTACATAAAGAATAGTCCAGTATTCTGGTAAATACAGACATTCCATTGATTAGCTATAAACGAGTGAAATTAGGAACCTGTCTTCACATAGAGGTATAGCACTATCTTAACACTACAAAAACCTGCTGTTTGCAGTGGATAAAATATCCACTTAAAGAGGTAATAGCTCCTTCACAAGTCTTTAGATATGAACCAGAACAGACAAGGGTGTTCAGAACAAAATATTCTACATCAGTCTTGGTTTGAGCATGTCAACGGAGAGGTTCCATTCAAAAGCGGAGGAGCTGAGTCACTGGGTTGACTAGCACAGTTCACAAATCATAGCATCCCTCACTTTCCAAAGGGGGATCAGCAGATTCCCTGCGCTTGCACCCTCGGCATACAAGTCCAGACCTACTGCCTCTTGTGTGGATTTCTTGCTAGATGGAAAAACCCGACCATTAGTAACAAAAAGTATTGGAAAACAAGTATCAGAATATTTCATGGCTTACTGAGGACAGTGGAAAAATTCCCATTGACTCAAAGTTTGCAGCATTAGTTTTCTAATCTTGGTGAGGTATTTTTCCCTCGTTTTTATTTTTGACATGTTAGTTTTCTGCAAAATCCACCACACATGAGAGGACTGTTAGGAGCTGTCAGATCTAGGATCCTGATAGAGGTGAGAATACCACAACTGCACGTTGCCGGGTCCAGGCATGTATTCCAATAGGCACACACACATGTATACAACATGCACGCACACATTCTTTATGTACATGCACTCACAAGAACACTTGGTACTCTGGCAAACATAAACAACACTCACATTCTCATACTGATCCCCACTCTGGCTGATCAGGATAACGGTCCTTAGTGGTCTTAGGCACTCTGTTCAGTAACTGGCCCTGCATCCCTGCTAACCTAGACTCATGGACCCTATGACCTGTGGTCCAATTCTAGTTTCTGGAACTTGAACCTCTTTACACACATATCCACACCAAACAGAGAGACCATCCCCTGGAACAAGTAGTTAGAAATGGAGTTTAATAAGAGGAAAGGTCAGACTGCATTGATGAAACGTAGGGCGAAATCAGACAAAAGTATGGATCAGCAGATGTTTAACATGCAACCAGCTCTCTTTATGCCTTTATCCATCCATTTTCCCATGCTTGTTCCTCTCCAAAGCACCTTGATCCCTCTCTTTCCCCACCTTTGTTTTCTCCCCTAAAAATCCCGTAATAATTGAGTCTTGTAAAACCCTAAAATTTGCTTCCCTAGCATCCTTTAAGGAGTCCCACACAGTGGGCAGTGACCCACCTCAGCCTGTAAGGTGATCTGGAGGGCAGCTCCCACCGGCTCAGCTTGAAGGGGATCATCCCAAGACAATGGGATCTCTCTCCTGTGACATCCCCACAATACCCAGCTCAGTGTTGTTTCTCTGATTAGGTTATTGGGGTTCCCATGTGTGCCATCTTTTTCCTGCTTGCCCAATGTGCCATTGAACTATCTTTAAAAGGATAGCTGTCTAACACAAAAGCCAACAGGTAACAGGTAGACATTAGATGGCAAGGTGACTTTTAAAATAAAGCAGTCCATTGGAAAAAAAAAAAAGAGGGAAACCCTGGTCTCCAGTGGAGTTTTAGGCCTTAGTGTGATATAGTCACACAGCTCTAGATTAATTATTCTAAGGAGGCTCACTTAATTCTCTTGCTAGGGATCTTACCCATAAATGACATCTCACTAACAGCAGTTTCAGTGATAAGGGCGAGTTAAAAAAGGCAATTGTCAGCATTATCAAAAACTTTTTCTTTTCCCCCTTTTTTAAAAACTTGGTAGGTGTGGAAGTGGAATGTCGACCAGTAAGTACCAGACTGCAGTATAAGAATATCAATGGATGTGTGGCTGAAAAAGAAGTGCCTATTTCTCACTGTGAGGTAAATAACAAAAGCAACCCCCTTGCCCCCTGCCCTTGCTCCTTTCTCTCTTCCACAAGGGAAACCTTTGCCTCCACTAGGGCTTCATTTCAGTAAGTGAAGCACCAGTTTCTGTCCTTCTCATTGATTCACTCTAACAGTGTAAACCTCATTGGTAATTATTTCCTAAAGTAATACGGTGATCCTGAATTTTCCTTAGTTAAGCCAGCAAGAAAAAGGCATATCACAAGCATAAAGGCTTTGTTCATACCCTTCTCCTTTTCTTACATCAGAAACCCCTCTTCAGGCTCTCAAGTTGATTTATGAGAGTGTAAATAGTTATTTAAATGCATGATACTTTAACAGACATTTAAACTTGAGTGCTATGATTTGACTTCTGTGCTCTGTAAGCTCTATGACTCCTCCGTTAGTCTGCGCACTAAGCTCTTGTGTTCTGTATGGCTTGTACGTTTCTCCTATAATCAGGTTAAAATTTTCATTTCCTCCCCACCACTGCTTACACCTTATAGAGCAAGTAGAACAAAGAAAAAGAGCAACCAGCAGGACAATGGATGTGTGGCTTGTAATATCTCGGCTAAAGCACTTTCTGAATGCGTGATCTCACACCGCTGACACAATAACCATATGTTATTAGAAGCCAACACAGTAGCTCTGGACATTGCCTACGATATTTTAAATTATAGGGAGTTTTTTGTCTAACCCGTTTCTTCACCGCTCCGTTTCTATGCTTATGCTCATGACATTACTCTTTGACCAGCACCCCGCACTCTGGAATCAGATCCCTGTTTCTGAGTTCATGGTTTACAGCAGGCAACAACTAAAAGCAAAGTTGTCCATAGATGTTTTGAAGGGAAGAACCTGGATTCTAACTGCACTAAGGTCTGGCACTGGTTAAACTTGGTATCTTTTTTTCCATTTAGGGCAAGTGCAGAAGCAATACCAGATACTCTGTTCAGACAGGGAAATGGGAAGACCTCTGCAGCTGCTGTAAAGCCACTCAAACAACCACCGTCACGATCCCCCTGCGGTGTGCCAATGGGACGGTGGTGCAGCATTACATCCCTTCTGCCTCTCAGTGTGAATGTTATTCTCGGAAGTGTACGGACTGAATATTTCCAAAGAACCCCAGCTGTGTAATCTCAATTTCTATGATGAAGGAACTCCACAGTGCAAGCCTCATTTTCTCTCTGTAGATGATTTTATCCAGTAGAATCCTGACTAACTAATTGCACCAGTATAACAAACAATAAAATTTACTAGCACAATAGAGCATCTTCTGGTTATTTTTGGGTTTGTTTCTAGATGAGATATTGCAGATTGTATTGTTCAACTTAATCTTCACCGTAGAAAGTAATCCACATTATTAAAAAAACCCAAATCCCTTCAAACCTGCAAAACTACAAGGAGCCTAGCAGAAAAGTTCAGGAAATCAGGTCAGCCTTGAGCAGTTTTTAGCTTGGCATCTGTGGAAATGGAAGGCATTTCAGAGGACGTTGTCACCATTGCCCCTGGGTCACAGGGAGGAAATTTTTGAGATGAAGAGCTATTGCTCCTCACATGAATACCAATGTCACACGATCAAATGTGTCAAAACACCTCCCCATCAGCATGAATGGCTCTCTTTGGGAGAAAAAATCCCCTCCCTCTGTGCTTTCAACTAAAAAGCAGAGTTGTATTCCTTTTTCAGCGGAACCAGGCGGATCCCTGCTTCTTCTCTTCTGCCATTCAGCTGTGGATTCAGCACATACTGAATTGTAGGCCCTTTTTGCCCTTATTATTCATTCAAGGCATCCTCAGTTGCTGAAGAGTGGTATGAGAATCACAGGCTTTCTATGCATCTCTCTTTCTTCTGCTGTGGACCACAATAAGCCCAGGGAGAGAAACCAAGTTTTAATTGACACCAGCCTCACTTACTGCGGTAGATCTGTCATCAGTTTTCCTCCATTCTTGCACTAGCTCCCTGTTGTAGCTGCCTCTGGATATTAAGCTTCCTGACAGACGGATTTGGGTCACCCAGCTCATCTGCAGCTGCGAATAAGCAACTCTTGGGACAGCAGCCTGCGGCATCAGAGAGGACCAGCCAAAAAGAGTGGATTAACACTCTCTACAGCTATGAGAAAGGAGGGTGCAGAGAGGTGGGTGTTGGTCTCTGCTTCCAAGTGACAAGTGATAGGACAAGAGGAAACAGCCTCAAGTTGCACCACGGGAGGTTTAGATTGGAAATTAGGGAAAATTTCTTCAAGCACTGGAACAGGCTGTCTAGGGAAGTGGTTGAGTCACCATCCCTGGAAGTATTTGAGAGACGTGTGGATGTGGCACTTAAGAACACGGTTTAGTGCTGGATTTGGCAGTGTTCGGTTAACGGTTGGACTTGACAATCTTAAAGGTCTTCTCCAACCTAAAAAAAAAAAAAAAAAATCTATTGGTCTGTAAAAAGCAGTGTCTTCCCCTTACCATCACGGTACAGCCCCTTTGTTTCCATTGGTGCCCTCACCCAGACTGACCCTTCTTAGCTCATGAAAGCTGACAGGATTACAGCCTGAGGCTTCATGGCTGCAGACAAGTCTTCTAATCAGATAACTGTATGAGTCAGGAACCAGCTTACTGGCATGGGGAGGACACACAGGAGCATCCATAGGGCATAGATGGAGCCACAGTTTTCTGAACAATCAGACATGCTTGCATGCAGACATGCTTTCAGACAGAATTTTTCAGTGTTTTCCACCAGCTACAAGGTGGAATTTTTTGACAGATCTGACCAACAGAGGGGAAAAAACATTCCTTCTTTCATCAATTCTACCTCAATTAACAAGAAAAATGTTGTGGATCTAAGTGTCTCAAGAGAGAAACAGACTAAAACAAAGATATTGTCTGGAGCAATTAATTTTTTCTAAGGAACTCTAGATTATTTATTGGAAAACTGCTTGGTTATAGGATCAAACTCATAAGAGATGTAGCTCAGTGAAATTAGATAAGCAGAACTGTATTGAGACTTCACACAGGTTCAAGAATATGTGTCATGCTACATGCCTTTTCTTCACCTTCCTTGGTTGCAGTTTTGCTTTCAGCATCTATGGCTGTATATGGACTAAAGTGGGCACACAATATGCCCCATGAGAATTTACTGGGTTTTCTGACAGAACAGAGTTCTGTGGACTTCTGTATGATCTATATATCGTTACTTGTGCCTAACTAGTATTTATATATTCCAATTAAATGCAAAGCCCTGTTGTATTCAAGGCCAGAAGAAGATTCCCCATTGAAAATTCTGTCACAGACAAATGGGAAAGAGCAGGAGGAAGGGAATATTATGTCTACATTAACAGGCTGAGAAGGTATATAAATTTTGGCCTTGATCTGCTGGCATGAGAATCAAGATTTTTCAGGCAGTTTGCCACCAAAAAAGCTGCCTTTCACCTAAGGCTCTGGTGGTGCCAGTGTGAAAATGGGCTTGGACTTCCTCCATGCAGGTCTCGATTGCCTTTTACCCAGCCAGTGCCATGTAGTGTACCTCTGCTATTTGCAGAAGCATTCTTGTGTGGCAGAAGAAAAGAACAAAATCAGGCCTGCAATCAAGTACCTGCTTAGTAGAGAGCTGTGCACACGAGCAGTAGTAGTGTCCTGGCACATCAGACAGTGCTGTACACCAGGTTGATCCATTAATATTCACCAGCAGCATCCAGGCTTTGAGGAACATTGTTTTTCATCTTGTAGTTGCTGCTCGTGAGACTGGATGGTTTTGAGCTACCTTAGTCTATGCTTTTCCACCAGTGATTCAGAAATCCTCCCACCACTTCAGGAGACTGGCTGGATCGTTGAGCATGAAACAGGATAGATTTACAGGAATGTTAAATGAATTTGGGGAGGAGTCTTATATAACTTCTTAATTATTAAAAGCATCTAATCTCCTTGCTAACTTTTATGACTTCCAGGCACCACTTATCTGCAGCAGGTGAAACACAATCTGGTATATTGGCATTATTTGTTGAGGCTCTGCACTATCAACTAACACCATACTCAGGTCCCTTAGGAAACACAGTGGTGCACAGGTATGATTTTCTCTATTGGAAAATGTCCTTAGACTACAGACCCAGCTCCATTTTAACCAGCTGGATATTGCTTCCTCCTCATATTGCCTGCTGTGTATATTATTTATTACCTGAGCTAACTGTATTACCTGTAATGGACCCATTCTTATGGTTTATAGGAGCTAGTAATTTGAACCTGTGCAGGCAGAGCTTTGTGTCCTCAGGGATCCCAGCGGGACCTGGCTCTACATTCCTATACTATTCCAAAATTAGTGGGTATGACTTCCTGTTTTAGTATTTAATTGGTGCAGCATATAATATGGATATAAAATATCATGATTTTCAGCAAGTTTTTGTTCCACTCTCCCAGAGATAAGCGTATATATAGCAGTAAGATTGCTATCTATCCAGGGAGTTATAAAATATCACAGTTATAAAACATCAAGGCAAAAAGCAGTTCAACAGTTGAGTTGGACTTCCCCTTGGAGTATTCTCTGATCCCACATTTTTAGCAAAAAATTACCAGGAGCAGTATGTGATTGCACCATTGCCCTGTGCCAAGAAAGCATGAACTACATTGAGATCTCTGCATCTGTGAACATTGGATAAAAGCGATCAAGAAAAGAGCGACTCGTTTGTTCAAATGGATGGGGTGGTTATGCAGTCAAAAAAAAATTGCAGACAGACAAACTTGTATGCATGGCCTAGTGTGCAAAGAACCGGCCTGTGTGGCGTAGCACCCTCTCTGCCTGCTAGAGAGCTTACACACAGCAACTGAGAGCACCTTTGTTTGTTTTGTTGTTGTTGTTGTTGGTTTTTTTTTTTTTAAATTTAGGTAATCTAATAGTTTTTAGACCAGTCAGTCCAGAAACTGTGGCATTCAGGTTGTTCCCTGTTTTGTAACTGAAGGCAGTTTCTAAATGAAGTTCTGAGATTAATGTAAGATACTAGCAGGGTCAGATTTATACCTATTGATACATTTCTTTTAGAAATTTGGGGATATCATTCCAAAAGATGGACTAAGAAGAGTGGGGTGATTTAACTTTTCCTATCTGAAGTATAGAATAGAATTCTATATAGGATTCTATATGCATACTAAAGCAAATGCTAAGAAAGTATTCTGTAGCATTTAACATTCTTGTCTTCCCTGTATGCACAAGGAAAGACTTTATTGTTACTTTCCCCCTTTTGTCAGGGGTGAAATGAGGTGCAGAAAAGTTTGATTTACCTGTGTAAAGCTGTTCAAGACCGTCAGGTATCCTGATCCCTCTCCCTTTTAAGTAAAATCAGGCATAGAACATTAGTGTAGGTAACACATAAAATTCCTTGTGCAGCACTTCAGTTGAGCCAAAGTAAACAGATGAACACAATTTAATTTAATTTCATCCTGTTTGGTCTGTCTGTAACTCTTTCATTAAAAGGACAACTACTCAGTGAAAATGTATCCAGAGTTTAAACCAGCACATGTATTTCCTAGCCTTGCTGGGTAAGTTTTACAGCACCCAGCCCAAGTTTTGGGACAGAACAGCCATACCGCTCCCTGTAAAAACTCAGTATCTTTGATAGCTTAGCCATAGCACATCAATACATCTCTATGTGATACAGACAACTGCTATTTTTTATGGTCATGTCACAGTTCATGATCCCAGCTCACATGCTACCAGAAACACTGTGCTTCATTCAGTCACTGAATGAATCCATTTCCCCCTCTCACATGAGAAACTGTCCCAGTGTCATAAATAGGCTGAAAGAAGAAAAATCTGAACTCCAAGTAATTACACTTCCCTCCAATTATCATCAGCAAATGAAAGCCCTTTCTCAGGTGGAATTAGTCATCAATGACTTTTCTTTCCAGTACGTTGCTTAAGTCGTAAGGTTGAAGGCTAAGCAGGATCCATCACCTCTCCTGATTAAACAGTTGATTACAAGACAATCCCCTGAATATTTCATGCAGGAATGATGGTGTAGCATCCAGGCAGTAAGGTAACTTGAGTAGTTGAGACAGAGCCTTATAAAAAGTTTTCTGCACTTACCTCCTACCTAGAAGCTCTCTAAAGCTTTGCAGATAAAAAGACACTCTTTTGCACAGGAACCACCTCCAAGATAGTCTAATCCTTGAATAATGCTATTTTGGACAGAGCTCTGATGTAGAGCCCTGGTTTTAGCTTTTTTCTTTTTCCTTTCCTCCAATCCCTCTCCACTGCCTTCTGGGGAGTTAGGACAAAATATGCCTA